ACTTTAGTTTTGTTATCTCACAACATAGGAGCTGAAAAATGCCAGCTGGTTCATCTCCTAGCCGCTCTAGGCAGTTCAGGATCAGGCACGTAATTTAGATTTGATTCATCTGTGCTCCTGCCCCACACTCAGAATCAGGAAACAGTGGGACACAGAGCTGGAAACAGCTATTATCCGTGCTGGTGATAGGAAGCCAGTGGGGCAGCAACATCCTGTGTGCGTGTGCGGCAGGGGTGAGGGGTTGGGCTCTGACATGGGAAGAGTTGTCAACAGGAACTTCCAGTGACTGGAATCAGTGTACTGTTCAAATATATGCATAGTAACCATTGTAAATGGACTTAACGCACCAACGCACCAGTTAAAAGTATTAGGTTGACAAAGGTAGATAAAGCCTTCTAGAATGGAGGACTGTAAACTTCCAAAGGTTAAGGAAACCACCAGGCCAGGGGAACCCTTCGTCCCAGGTTGATTTGGGCTGTCATTAGTGGCACCGTGGTGAGGAGCACGTACACCCTGTGTGCACTGGATTGGTCAGGATTGTTACATGAGTGTTTATGTCCAGTAGAGTCAAGATGTGTTCATGCAGCCACACGGGTTATTTGTGTTTAGTGTGTCGTCAGGGGTCCACATCCTTCATAAATCAGTTGTCAAATACTTGGACTGTCATTCCTACTCTTTCTCATTCTGAGTTTCTCCCTCAAATATCCATCTCAAGATTGCAAATTAAGTGTTCACAATGAAAAAAAAATGACAATTAAAAAAACGAAAATTAACAGACAACGACAAAGCAGAGGCATTCTGCAGGGTGCAAAGGAAGGAGAGGGATTGGAACAAGGAGGGAAAAGCACTGGGCACTGAGGTGATGATGCATTGGTGAACTGGTGGTGGAAATTCTGTGGGGACTACCCCTGAGAAAAGAAGGCACACATTGTTAAAAAATGAACAATGATGTTACAGTGATGTGTGTGTATATGTGTGTGTGAATATATTATATTATATCATTGTATATACATATATATGAATATATTAAGTTTATATCATTGTTCACAATGTAATATATATTCATATAAAGGAAATAATGTTACCAGTGATATGTTTTTATGTGGTTATATGCAATACATGGACACTTTAAAAAGAACAGTCATAAACTCATAAATGAAAAAAAATCGGCCATCACACTAATGCTTGGGGAGAACAATTTTGGTATATTTATTTCTACTCCTTTTTAATATCAGCATCAGAAGTGGGATCATATTCTATATTCTCTTTATGTCACTGAACCAACATTACTGAATTTCTTCTAAAACAGGGATTGACCAAATTTTTCTATAAAAAGCAGACAGTAACTATTTTAAACTTTGCAGGCTGTATGGTATCAAAGGTACTCCACTCTGCTCTTTTTTATAAAAGCAGCCATATAAATCTTTAAACAAATGGGTACAGCTATAAGCTAGTAAAACTTATTTATGGATACAGATTCACATTTTATGTGCTTTTCACATAATTTGTCACAAAATTTATTCATTTTTAAGTCTTTCAGCTATTTAAAATGTCTAACCATTCTTGACTCATGTGTTCTTTGTAGCAGACTAGATTTTGCTAAAACCTTCTAAGCATTGTCACTAGTGGCTAATTACCATTTGTCTCTGTAGATATACTCTAAAATTTGTTTAACTGATTTCTTAGGTTGTTTCCAATTTTTCACTGTTAACAAACATCATTACAAGTTCGAAGTTATTTGTCCTCTTTTAGAATTTTTCTGTAATATAAATTCTTAGAAGTCAAATTATTGTGGCAATCAGAAGGTATTAACTCAAAAAATTAAGTAGAGAGATTGCAAATTAGCATATCAAAGTTTTCTCAGCAACATACATCAATTGAAACTGTAAATTAAAATGAGTTTCCACTACACGCCTATTAGAATGACTAAAATCCACAATACTTGACATTACCAAATGCTGGTGAGGTGAAAAAACAAGAAACCTCTTTCATTGCTGGTAGGAATACAATCTGGTACAGACACTGTGGAAGGAATTTGACAGGTTCTTAGAAAGCTAAATGTAGGCTACCCATACAATCCAGTAATGACTTTCCTTGGTATTTACCAAAATGAACTAAAAATCATGTCTACATAAAATTGTGCACATATATGTTTACAGCAACTTTACTCATGGTCATCTCAAATTGGCAGCACCAAGATAGGCAAACTGTGGTCAAGCCCTATAAAAAATTAGTAGTCATTGGTAAGTAGTAAGTAAACTACTCAGGCACAAAAAGAGATAAAGGAAACACAAATGGATTTTCTAAGTGAAAGAAGCCAATGTGAAAGAAAAAAACTATATACTTTCTGTTTCAAATGCATAGGACATTTTGAAAAAAGGCAAAACTAAGAGGTATTAAAAAAAGATCAGTGGTTGCCAGGACTGTGTGTGATAGAAAAGGAGGAAAAGGTGGAACAGAGTGCATTTTTAGGGCAGTGAAATTGTTCTGTATGATACCGTAATTTATAGATGACGTGCATTTGATGTACATCATAGGATGTACCTCACGATGAGTGAACCCTGATGCAAACCAAGGATGTGACTTAACTATGCACTGATACTGGTTCATCAATTGTAACAATTCTACCACGCTAACGCAAGATGTTAATAATGAGAGAAAAGAGCTGGAGAAAGGAGAGGGAACTTATGGGAAATCTGTATTTGCTGCTCAGTGTTTCTTTTTTCTTTATTTGTTTTTACATCATCCTTCATTTTTCCATATCGTTTGTAATTCCCCTGGACGTCCCACCACCAATTCACCTGTGTGCCATCACCATAGTTCCATGCACCTTTCCCACCCCATTTTGGATGCCATTCCCCTCTCCACCCCCGTAAAATGTCTCTGATATATTCGTTGTTTGCATTTTTTCTTTATTACAATTGCTTCCTCCTCATCCTACCCTGCCCCCCGCCCCCCGAGTCTCTTATGTTCCCACATGAATGAAACCATCTGGTATTTTTCCTTTTCTTTTGGTTTATTTCACTAAGCATGATCCCTTCCAGCTCCATCCATGTTGCTGCAAAAGGCATGAGTTTACGTTCTTTGACTGCTGAGCAATATTCCATTGTGTATATGTATTACATCTTCTTGATCCAGTCATCTACTTTTGGGCATTTGGGTTGATTCCATGTCTTCCCTATTGTAAATAGAGCAGCAATAAGTGTGGGGTACAGGGGTCCTTTTGAATCAATGTTTTTGTGTCCTTTGGATAGATACCTAGAAGTGGGATTGCTAGGTCATATGGAAGCTCCATTTTTAGCAGTCTGAGAAAACTCCAAACAGCTGCTCTGTTTTTCTATATATATAAAACTACTCTAAAATATCAGTCTATTAATTAGAACAATTATGTTATAGAACTCATATTTGTAAAGAAAATTAACAAAACTGTCCTACTATTCCAAAGATACTCACTTGTAACAGCCTAGTACCTATCCATCTAGATTTTTCCCTGCATATAAAATGTTAAACATATATTTTCCCTACAACACATAATACTTTTTATCTCGCTTCTTCTAAAACTCAATTATATACTATAGCCATGTCAGCATATATAGACCTACTTTATATTAACTGTACATTCATCCATTGTACAGTTCTAGCATAACTAATTTTCATAGTTCCTTATTACTGAACATTTAGTTGTTCCCAAGTTTTTTGTTTTTTTTTTAATGTTACAAGCTAGTTGTAAGTCTTATGTCTCTATCCTTTGGGGACTGTCATTAAAAATTTCCAAAGTTCCCTCTTGGAAGTTTGTTCAGATTTATACTCTTGGCAGTGTTTATATGCCAATTTCCTATCAACTTTGACATCTCTGTATGATATTTTCATAAATCCCAGCATCAGGGGTCGCTGCAAGCCTGCTTAAAAGACATCTTTGCAATGATGAAACTCCAGGCCTGCACCTGCAAAGACCTCTCTGCTTCAATAACATTAACTTGGATCCATTTGTGGAATTCCCTTTTACTTACAGCTCCCCACCCATTGACCTGGGTTATTTCATCATTACAGAGGTACCTGGTTGAGATACAGAAGGTTTGGTGGCCAGAGAAGAATGGCACAGGTACAACAGAGCTCTGTCTGTTGCCCCAGAATTCTGATGCCTTGGTTTGGCTGCTAAACTTTCAGAGTTACTAGAGAGGAGATTTCAGAAAGAAAGGGTGGATTTTTCTTGATCTTTTTGGAGGGTATCGAACCAAGTTGCAGTAAGCATGTATAAGCAGCTGGGCTACAGTGTACACAAGACAATCTCAGAGTACTCACCAACCAGTAATGGGAGCCTGACAAGGACACTTCTAGGAGGAGAGCACTTTCCAGGGTCAATGAGAAGAAATCAGCCACTCCATTTCCTCACGCTTGGAAGCCTGAGGACACTGAATAAGCATAGGCAGTGGCTCGTAGATTGAGGCTCCTCCAGATACTTCATTAACAGTATTCTTTTTCATTGAATGGTCTTGGAATTCTACTAGGGGGAAAGTAGTCATTGGGTCTTAAAGACTTCAAGAAAATGCAGGTTGTAAACTTATTTTAGGTGTTGTTTTCATTTAGCAACATCATACTTAGTAAAGCCATTCACTGTAATAATATTCAGCCCCAAAGGCAGGTAGATCAGAAGGAAACAGTCTACTATCATAGTTTATAATATCCATCAAACTCCAGGGAAGAAACTTGCTCCAATCTCCCCTAACTTATGTGCCTGGGAACTACTGCTGCCTAACTGTTCTTTATTTTGTATTTAATTATGAATTGAAACTTTAAAACCATATATGAAATGTGTAAATCTAAGATGTATAATAAAATGCACTATGACCCTAAAAAAAAATTCTAGCATCAATGCATCAACAGTGGCAATGAAATTAGACTTTCTATGTAAGCTGTCTGATGTATTTCCACTTGGCCATCCAGAGGTTTTGGTATTTCTGGGGTTTAATCACCCTCCCCTTGCCTTCCATGTTTTGCAGTTACGACAGTGGCCTGACTCGTATACAAAGAAGTTTGAGCACAGAATCTACCCCATCACATTTTCAGTTGGAAACCCTCAGGAATGGAAGAAATTGTTTAAACCCTGTGCTGCCCAGAGACTCTTTCTTCCGGTAGGAACACCTGCTTCTAATGAGATGGTGCTTGGGAGAGAATTGCTCTAGGAAAAGTGGTGAAATTAGCTGGTCTATTTAGAGACAATACACTTACAGCTGAATTGTGTTTCTCTGGATTCTGTTCTTGATGCTCTTAGTCTGCGGGGTATAGAGACGTGGTTCCTGTGTTTGAGAGGTTGGCTTTCCCAAAAATTGAGGAACTGAGAGCATCCAAAGCATGTCTGGGATAATGGGTCTTTGTGACTTGGCTTCACATTCATAAGTTGTATTAACCTCAGCAAATCCCCTGCACTTCTCTAAGCCTGTTTCCTTCGTAAGCCTGTACATATTTAGTCTTCAATAAATGTTAGCTTTGACTATTATTATTGCTCTTAAAACAATAACTATTACTAGATATAACCATGCCAGGGGTTACTTAAAAAAAAAAAAAAATTTCCAGGATTCTGGTCTCAGCCTTTTAGTGTTGAATTTTAACTTGAGTATTTTTGTTTCCTTTTTTAAAATTCTAAATAGAAAAATCACTGGAGATTTACCCAAACAGAATACCATTGAACAAAGATGGCAACTTTGAACTTTGAGTTTCATTCAGATGTATGTGAGGGCTTCTTGCATGTATTAAACATTTATGAAGTATCCATTAGCTGCTAGGTCTGCTTTAGTGATGATAATATGAGAACAAATAAGACAGGTGATCTTGTGCCCTTGGAGTTTGAGTTGAGCAAAACAGCAAATAGGTGACTAGAAGTATAGTCAGTGCTGATGTGCCACAGTTCTTGTGGGCAAATTGTGTGTGTGTGTGTGTGTGTGTGTGTGTGTGTGTGTGTGTGTGTGTGTGTGTAGTTACCATCTGGTCTGGGAAAGGTCATAGAAGATTCTCTGAAGTGATGGCATTTATGCTAAGACATGCATAAAGAGGAGGCAGGGGTCGTTAAGTGACAGAGCCTTGGGGGTAATGAGAGAGGACCCGGTTCCAGGCAGATGGAGCATAAAGATCCTGTATGTATTAGATCATGTTTGAGGATTATATTCAAGGATCATGTTTGAGAAAATGAAATATCACAGAAACCAGAGTGAGGTGGAATTGAAGAGGTCAGCAGCACTGGGGCCTGCAGCCTCCATAGCTCATAGCATCAAATGGGCACCTCTGGTTACAGGCAGTCAGATGCCACTGATTTCTAGTATGGAAGCAGGACTATTTGACTTGTGTTGTAAAGAGAGTACAACACATTGCATTGTGGGCAGTGGAACTGTTGAGTTCAATTTGTGATGACTTGGACTAGGGTAGTTGTAAGTGTCTTAAAGACAGACTCGTAACTTGCCTGAGAAGTAGAATTCTTGTGCTTAGCTGGTCATGAGAGTTGAAGGGGAGTGAGGTGATAAAGTTTCTGACCTAATCAATGATTAAGGTTAATCTATTTGAAATTGCCAATAGTCAGCCTACAGAAAAGTCAATTTCTTATGTTTCAAACCTGTTAAGTAGATGTTAGTGCTGTTAATCGATGGAAAAGACTAGAAGATGACCAGTTTGGGGAAGGGGGAGGAGTTACCATATTGGGTAACGAGACCGATTTTAAGGTTCCATCTCTTGGTATGCAAACCTCAATAACGAATTGTACTTTTAGCATTTCCTACACAGAACCTGTGAGGAGAATAAGACATGTGCTGTGCTTAGAATTTATTTACTCAAATCATTCAGTGACCTAATTTTCACATGCCATAGACCTGTATAAATTTTATGAGGTAGAATTCACTGTATAAAAATGGGAGGAGGAAAAGAATACCTCAGGTCAGCCCTAAAAGTTCTAAGTTGATAATGTTAAAAACTAAGTTGACAATGTTGAAAACAATTTGAGAAGATTAAAAAAAAGGGGATTAGGGCCATCCCTGCTTTAACCCACTGCTGGTGGTACAGCGGGTTAAAGCACAGTACTAAGAAGCTATAGACACTTCAGCATGAGATCGATTCCTGCCCCGGAGCTGACCCACATGGCACAGCAAACCTCTCCTGACCTGCCTGCTGCTCCCCACTCTGTCTTTGGTAAAGCCTCTCACTGCCCCTGCACCTCTGGCCCGTACCCCAGTTCTTCTTTCTTCACTTCAGGGGAAAAATATTAGAAAGTCAAGATTATTGAAAAACTGCTTCCCCAACCTATCCAAAAAACATTAGCAACCCTGTGGAAAACATTCGATTTTTCCCTGACCTTGAATTGTGACTTTAGTCACACACCCACACATGATTGTTTCCATTCATTCCCACCTAAGTCCATTTTGAGTGACAAATGGATGCTGGTATTCCTTATCTGGTTTTGATATTGAAAACTAGCCCTCCTTAAAAGCAATAAAGAGAGATTGTGGTTGACAGGATCTTTACCTTCTCTCTGTTGTTTATCAAAGTAGCAAATATTAAAATGACATTAGGGGCTCTCCCTGGTGGTGCAGTAGATTAAAGCACAGCACTATGAAGCTATCACAGCCACTGTAGCACGAGTTTGAACTCTGGCCAGGGAGGTGACCCACATGGTGAGGCAGACCTCTTCTGACCCCCCTGCTGCTCCCCTCAGCAGTGTATTTCAGTTAATCTGACTATTCTGCTCCCCACTCTCTTTGGTGAATCCTCTCACCTCCTACTCCTCTGGCCTGTACCCCAGTTTGGTATGCATAAATAAATAAATCCTTTTTAAAAATGGTATTTAGGGCTCTCAATGAAATGTTTTGGTTCTCAGGTTAATTTGAAACAAAATCTAAGCGATGTTTTCCTTGAAATTCATCTCTATAAAATCAAAACAGGTGGATGGTGAGGCAGCACAGAGAGATGGAGATCCAAAAATGCAAACATTCTAGCAGGTGGGCAATCATTGAATAAGAACCACAGTCTTGCCTATTTTCTGAGAGGTTGTCATCTACCCCAAACATGTAGACCAAGCCCTGTCTCATGTAAAGTTTTACTATCAGAATAATATCAGAGTATAAGTCTGTGCAACTCAAAACTACTACATTCTCAAGACCAGTTAGTAGAGTTCTTACCCTACCAATTCCAGATTTATGAAGTCCTAAAAATCAGTGGGTGTTTATATGTGAATAACGTGGGTCGAAGAACAGGACCATTGCGCAAAGCAAACCGCAAATGGCTTAATTATACGCTGTAAGAGGTCAATGCCAGTTGCGAACCCACCAAGGGGTGCACTGACCGCTACGTTCACCCCAATGTAGGAGACTTGGAGACTTGAGAGAATGAAGCAGGAGCCTGGGGTCTGGAGTCCAGAGTCTGTTTATTAGGACTGCCCATGAGTATATATAGGGTCCATACATGCAGGGAAAAACAGGAAATGTACCCCATGCAGATTTGTACCCGGTCTGGGGCTTCTTGTAGCTTGGGTCTGGGGCTTCTTGTAGCTTCTACTTGAAACAAAGTAGTGGGTTGCAGCTATTTGCAGGACAGAATGCACTGTGCTCTGCTGACTTGTTTGTTGGCCTTACTGGGGAGTGTGCTCACCCATGTACAACATTAGCCAGGGCGGACAAATGCACTTGAGGTCCTGCAGAGTTAGCCACAAATGTCTTCAGCTAATTCAAGAGGCTAGGACTAGTCCCAAGCACAAATAGATCCAAGGCTAGCAAAATGTCACTGTGGCTCTGGCTCTCCCTTGGCTTTTTTTTTTTTTTTTTTAACAAGGTTTGTTTCATGAATGTGATGGTTGCTTGAAGCAATCTGAGATCCAAATTCTGGAAGCTTAACTACTGGAGTAAAGCAGGAGCATGACAGAGTGACACCTTCTGAAATGGTGACACGAAAGTTCTGTGGAATTGTTCCTTGGTGAAACAAACACAACTGGTGAAAATTGCTTTTGAAACAACTAGCTAAAGTCTTTGGGAATTGCCTGCAGAGCCTCAGCAATTAAAGAAAACAGTTTTTGTTCTAGAAATTCTACTAAAACTTAGTAAGAAAAGAATGAGACTGTGATATTTGAACCATGACCTATTCCTACCCTCCTGCCTTTCAGCTTAGCATGATGCAAACGCAGCTCCAGATAATTCAGTCACTAACAAGAGATCCTTTTTCCCCACAGCCTCCCGATGAGCAATATAGTATTTACTTGGGAGGCACAGGCCATCAACATTTCACATCACATCTGTTGCAGAGCTTAAATTAGTGTCAGCTGTGCCCAAGGATCAGGGAATTCCTTAATTAAGAGGAAGCTATAACTTCAAAAGAGCAAGCCCAGTTAGTTTATAAAGGGGAACCAGGAAATGCGATAGTTAATAAGTGTCCTCTTTTTTTCAGTGTAAAGTTCAAAGACTGGCCTCAAAATCTGCCCCTGCAAGTGGACCTGAATTTAATTGGACCAGACTATGGAACAATTTGTGCCTTAGGTCACTGCCAAAAACAATAATGTAATCAGCTGGCAATTAATTAGTGGATGCTAATAAATTGGTGTAATAACAACAGAGGCAGAAAGCTTAACAAAAAGATTAGAGAAAGAGAGAGGGCCCTGATCAAACCATTGTCATCCACGGTGACTATGTGCCTACCCAGACCTTACCCTCTGAAGAGCAACATCAGAGATGTCACATCATGCGTGAAATGGAGTTCTCTAAAATAGTCCCATCAAGATGCTAAATAAGCTAGCAAACATCACTAGGCTATACAGACTGTGGGGTAAGTGAGCTGAGGGCCAGGTGAAACTGTTGCAGGGTAGCCCAGAATGGACTGGGCCGCCTGTCAGTGGGGCCTCACCCGCGCTCACAATTCAGTGATACTGCAGGTACACACAAAAGGGTCACTAATGGGTTTATTTACAAAAGGGGAAAGGAATAGGAAACAACCCAGGGAAAGAGAGTGGGATACAAAGTAACTGGAATACCTTACAGGTAGGCTGACCGAACACATGGAGTCACAGGATCAGGAGAGCTGCTTCCCCAGCGAGAGAGCCAGAGATGCAATCGCGCCCTATTTATCCCCCAAATGTCCCAGAATTCTTGCTAGCTCCACCCTTGGA